GACACTGGGACTTTTTATGTCCCCTATGATTGCAATGGAAGCAAATCAGATCAGATGTTGTGGTGGTAATGGGAGTAGTTGTACAATCCTTACTCATATGCCCGGTTCGGCCGCACTTGTAGCAACCGAGACTCCCTGCCATGCACACCCCATTGTGCAATCTCCTATACTTGCCACACTGACCGTGGCTCTGCTGTCCTCTAGATCTATGATTCGATACCTTGGGCTTTTTGACCAAGCTCCCTGTGCCAGATGCTGCCTCTGGCTTCCTCTTCTTCTCCATCTCCAAATCTATATCTTTCTCACGAGCCCTCACAATCATATCATCCAGCGTTTTACAGCTGGACCGACTCACAAATTGGCGGATATCACTCCACAACACCTCATGATAACAGGCCTTCTTCATTTCCTCATCAGTTGTGTACTGAGGAATGAGAAGAGCCCTATCCCTAAACTTGGAGGTAATCTCCACCACTGTCTCTGTAGTCTGAGTGAGATCCTGGGACTCCCTAGCTAACTGCTGCACCTCAATAACCAGTGCAAACTTGGCTCTGAACCTGGTAGTAAAATCTACCCAAGTTATCGCATCAAGTTCTACGTGATCCCCAATGACATTTCCGATCTCCTCCCACCAATCTCATGCTCTGTCCTTCAGAAGACAGGATGTTATTTTGACCTTGTCCCCCTCGGTACATATGCTGGTGTGGAATGCGTTGGCGACATCTGCCAACCACCTAGTACTCGCTATGGGCTCCCACGCCCCATGGTAGTCTAGAGCTCCACAAGCCCGGAACTCCCTGAAGGTGAGTGTGCGCGACCCCATCATGGCCGCCACCTCAGCACGGAATGTGCTCAACCTCTTGTCCATCAGCTCTAGAATACCCTCCTTGATCAAACCGAAGATCACAGGAGTTTGCTCAAGTATGGTGCAAGTAACCTCTGAGGTGAGGAACTCTCTGGTCTGCTTATCTAGATGCTCGGCCCTCGAGCCCGATCCTGATCCCTCGCCGGATCCTAAACTGCCGACTGCTGGCCTAGGGCGTAAAACCACCATTCTAAAAACACACCATAACAAACGTCAAAAACACTGATATATCTCGAGGGATCGCTACTACTACAAGTTTCCCGGTGTCATCTCATGCTTCCTCGGTTCAAGTATGGATCCTTTTCTTTCAGTATTACGGGCCCATACTACCTTCGACATCTATCCATACTTTACTCAAGAACTGCCTTGACTTCCACCAAGTCACTTCTACTGCTACTGATCTCCGCTACTCTCATCCTAGGCTCGCCCTAGGGAAATCTCTGACTCCACCCAACCCAATCCTCAGCTGTTGAAGACCTCCTTGTAATGCCAATTATCCATTACCTAAATACCATCACATGTAACGAGGATCAGATAATCCTTCGAGTAAAAGACTCATCCTTAAAATGGTTAGATTCAGACGAGAGTTGCGTAATAGGGCCAAACCCAACACTCTGAGATTATTCAACCCTGATCACATGTGACGTGACATATTCACCTAATGGCTAACTCTCGTCACTCAGAGTCCTACAAGACACAAAGCAAGCAACATTCAGACACAGGAAACTACTCAAGCAAATCTATCTTTATAACAAGAAACTGTACTAGCGTACAATGTTGAGCTCATACTATCAGGCATAACCTAAATAGGCTATCCTACTACTATCTACTCAATACTAGCATGCAATTCTCATAAAGCTGGAACACATATAGCAGGCACATAAGGCATCCTACTAGATCCTTTGTCCTATTCTAGCATGTTGTTCTACTAAAACTAAAACTGATAATCATAACATAAACTTGTATGGGTAGTTTGGGAATACATACTTGAGCTCAGCTGATCGCATGCACCACACCCTTTTCTCTTTTTCAAAGACTCTTTTCTTTTTAAGTTTCTTTTTCAAAAAATTCTTTCAAAAGTGTTTTTGTTTTGAAAACCTCACACCATTTCCTTAGTTTGAGTTCAAAAGCACCCGAAAGTGTGTTCGAATCCCTCAAACCAAGGCTCTGATACCAACTTGAAACATGCCAAAAATACAACCCAAATTTTTTTGTTTTAACATTATTAAAACCCCACAACATCGAATGTTATATAATAAAACCATGCATCGTATGTCTCAAAATACCATAATAAATGTATTAAATCAAAAACTAAAGTTAATATCATATCGAAACATTTGAATAAAACTCCGAGGATAAAACTGTAACTATGGTGTGTGCTATGCCATAAACCTGAGCTCTTCCCCTTGCTAGCGGAAGTACCTGAAAACAAAACTGAAAACTATAAGCATAAAGCTTAGTGAGCTCCCCCAATCTACCACATACCATAGAATACATATAAAGCACATACTGGGCCTTGACCACTGCATCAGACCAAAATCTAGAAACTGCATCAGACCGATGTCCGGAAACTGCATCAGACCGAAGTTCGGAAACTACATCGGACCGAAGTCCAGGAACTAACCAGGGCCTTGCCCTCTACATCGGACCGAAGTCCGGAAACTGCATCGGACTGAGTCTGAAACTACATCGGACCGAAGTCCGAAAACTAACCAGGGCCTTGCCCTCTACATCGGACCGAAGTTCGGAAACTGACCGAACATAGTATAACATAATCATAACTACTAGCATAAACACATACACTGCATACTGTATCGGACCGTAGTCCGGAACACATAACACAAAGACATGCTTGAATCACAAAGACCTCAAGCACAGTGAACTACTACATCAGACCGAATTTCGGAACTACTGCTGACTAAACATGCCGACATTGTGGCCGTAGACCCGTTCCTACTGGAAGGAAGACTCACCTCGTAACGCTGTCTGCTGAGATGCTAAATCTAAAACTATCTGACTGCTGCTCCGGAACTCCCCGGCTTCTTTTGCTGACAAAGAGTGAGTCTAATCCAGATCTCTGAGCTCAAGCTTCTTCTCCAACCTTTGCTTTCCTTCTTCACAACTTCTTCCTCACTAAAAACTCTCACAAGGAGCAAAATCACACAAAAGAGAGAGTAAGTACATGCTAGGGTTTTCTTGGGGTGAGGAGACTGGTAATAATCCAGAGGAAGGCTATAATGGGGTTTAAATATGTCTCAAACCCTTAAATTAGGGTTTTTCTTATCTGTTCACTTACACTGCACGTACCTAGCGGTACGCTGCGCGTAAGTGTATGCGTCCCCGATTCCAACCGCGGTCCGCTACGCCCCGCGTACGCTTACGCTACGCCCCACGTACGTCTTATAAGCGGCCCAATACTTGGCCCAAGTGCATAAATCCAAATCCAATACTCTTTTTCTTCCATACTAGGCCCAACTATAATTTAAAAAAATTAAATAATTAATACCTCGAGAGACGGACGTTACACATCAGGTTTTATATTTAAGTAGGCTAAGGTGGCAACTGAGTGTACGCAACCATATCCATTAATTTGCCATATCCTGCAACTGCATTCCTTTTTTTCGACATCAATAGTAAACACCTCGTCCATTTTCCTTGCCTCAAACTTCATCCCCCACAAGATATGACCTACCAATGCCTACATATATAGATGAAAACCGCAAATATCATGACATGTGAAGAGTAAGGTACTAATGTAATTGGATAAATGTACAAACCTTTGCTCAGTCTGGAGCATATTCAACCGTATTCTGATATTTGGACAAACAGAATAACGATTCCATCCTTGTCCGGTTAGTTTCATAGTCACCATCCTTTGCATCACATATATACGAATGTCCTCTGACATGCTTATTATTGGTTTCTTCCGGGCATCCAAAATCACACTATTAAAACTCTCTGAAAAACCATTCTCTACTGACTCACAAGAATTATGAACTCTGAAAAAAAGCCAAAGAACAAGTCTTTGGATCTCTATCCATAAGATGCACAACTGCTTCCAGATTTAATTTTCCAATCTCTTTCATAACTATATTAAATTATGCTTCAGTTGTTGCCTTTCTCGCTTTCCAAAACAGATTTTCAAACTTGGATCCACTAATTTTCTTTCTAAAATTCGCATAGATATGTCTATCACACTGCCTATGTTCGGCTGCTGGAAATACTTCCTTTACTACCTCAATCAAACCCTACATAAGTCACATTAATGTTTGAAATTAGAATAGCAATTAGTACTTTTAGAACATGCACTAGTTTTGAACCATACCTTGTGTTGATCCGAAATTAGAAACAACCCATGTCTATCATTCCGACATTGCAAATCTTCTGAAAGAGTTTCTATGAACCATTTCCAATTCACTTTGTTTTCCATACAAACAACTGCCCAAACAATCGGGAATATTCCATTGTTAGCATCTCTACCCACAACACAAAGAAACTCCCCCTGACAAAAACTTTTCAGAAAACAACCATCCAAGTTAATGATCCTCTTACATCCTCTCCTCCATCCCTCTTTTACTGAAGCAAAATAGATGTATATTTTGCTGAAATAATTCTTACCATCAGACATTGAATCAACACAAATTTTAACTGTGGATCCAGGATTTGATCTTCTAATCTCCTCACCATATTACCATATTCTTGCATAATTTTCAGATATTGTGCCTTCAGCTAGACTCAATGCATACTTCTTGGCTCTCCTACACTGACTCATACTCACATTAATCCCAAAAGCGGTTTTTACCTCCTCTCTAAGCAATTGGACGCTCATCTTTTCATTATTATAAAATTGGTGCTTAAAGTGGGTCCCTATCCATTTGTAAGTCACAATTGATCCGAATTTGAAAATTTTTGCACAATTATGCTCACTGATAAGAGACTTTAACTGAAAAGATTTACCATCACTCATCTAAGAACCCTAAAGCCTAAAAGTACATTTTCCATCACAACATTTGACAAGTAATCGTCTAGTATCATTCTTAACAAAACATAATTGATAACCATTCACGACAGCATAGTTACAAAGCATGTGTTTTAATTGCTTAGGACTCTCAAACCTCATATCTAAAATAGGTTCCTACTCCTTCCAGTTAAGCTTATCATTGAAAATGTTTGGAAATTCAGGATAAACATCTTCATTGTCACCCATGTCTTCTTCGAAAGACTCACCTACACCTGCTTTCTTACCCATGTCTACCTGAATCTCATTACCCTTTATAAAAAAATGAGGCTTCTGATGGTCATCCTCATCGTCATCGACATCCTCATCCTCGTCGTCATCATTGTCGCCATTCACTTCCTCATCGTTTGTGTCACCCAAATCCCGATGCCCTATTGCAACCTCCTTAACCAGTCCTGCACCATCAAGTACTTCTTCCTGTACATTACCAAAAAACTTGTCTTTGTGTTCATCCAACCATTCATGTATGTTACTATTCCCAAAATGGTCTACATACATAGGGAGTATAACACCACATTCATATGCAATTGCTATGAAGTCGTAATAATCGGGGTCATTGCAAATTAGAGTCAAACCTTTTGGAAAATCAATATCAAGTTGGTAGTAATAGAGCTTCTCACACTTTTCCCCAATGAACCTTTTGATGAACGCAACACACCCATCCTTGTCCATTCCTGCGAAATCGATGTCCGAAAACCTCTGAGTAATTCCACCGGTGTAGCGTATGGGGTTTCTGGCGAACATTCCTTGGAAGTGGACATCTAATTGTAAGAATACATGCTCCATGCTTGAGGATTCAGAAGCAGCTCACAAAAAAGGGTTTATCGATGAAGTGTTAAACAGTGGAGGTAAAAGGGTTCTTTTATAAAGCATATACCGACAGTAAGAAGGAAGCGACTAATTAATGACATGGTATTAGATGAAATTCACAGTCAGCATCTGATGTGGTGTTAGTAGAAGAAGGTGGACTTAAAATGACCCGCTAACCCCTTCACAATTGAAATAAGGACTTAATCGACCCGACAAAGAGTAATTCGTTACCTTATTAAGCCATAAAATAAGTTAATTGGCTAAATGAGTAAACCCTAAAAACATTATAGGCCATATACGTCATTTTCCCTAATTTAGAACCCCCTTTGTGAACAGTTCTTCTCTATGATTGGTTGAATTTTTTTCTTTTGGTGGTTTCCTTTAGTTGTTTTTTTTGTCTTTTCTATTGGTCATCATAGTGGTGTCCACGTTCTTTGATGAATTTTGCCCATAATTGCTACGTGTTATTGTCTGCTCCTACCTCCCACAGCTTCCAATTACATTCGGACAATAGATCTACCACCGCCTCAATACGCCTTCTGCTTTGACTTATCATCGATCTCCGATAGCTTTACTTCAGGCATCCCCCCACTTCATTTTCCACTCAGTCTTTCGATTTGCACGTTACATCTTTTCCTCTCACGTATGGCTTCGTTATTCTAGCCCTAATTTGTTTTCTATTTCTATATGAACCGATTTCTCCCCACACCTCCATCGATTCAACGTCGTTGCTCAGCCCATCTTCTGATGGCATCTTCCACACCTGCCAATTCGACAAAGGTACTCCCTCCTGCTGTGGCGCTGCAAGATTGCTCCGCCGCGCTACTAGCCGACGGATGCTCCGTCGATGCATGTGAGGGATTTTGGGGTTGAGAAAAATTGAAGAACAACAGATCGATGGGCTTACTCACAGCCGATTGTTATCCTAGACCTAATTTAGAACCTTTCATTCATTTGTTGTTTTGATTTCTATATTGATTACGAGCCAAAAAGAGAATCCGAAGAGGTCTTTGAGGATTTGGATTGTTGGATATGTGTGTTAGTGTTTGCTTCATATGATTGGTGTGTATGTGTTGAGTACAAACACATATACCAGCAACATTCATCGGATTATGGGGGAAATTTAAGATCGGAAGTTAATAACGGAAATCGAAATCCAAATTCGAGTTCCAAACTATCGATCTTAGGGAGTGATAAAGGGAAGAATGTAGATTTTATGTCAATTAGTTTGCAGAATGATGATGATACCAAGTACAATCTTCAACCAAATCTTCCTATAGTGTTAACAAACACAAACACCTTTCATTTTTTTTGAAGATGTCGATGATCTTGATTTCATTGGTGAGAGATGGAAGAGGAAAAGATGGTAACTGAATCACACCACCACAAACATCATCTCTCACCCTCTCCCTTATCACATCAACAACACCGGTCACCACTACTACTCTACCTTCTCTACCAAATTGCAACTTTTAAGTCGAACAACCATAACCACAAACATCATCTCTCACCCTCTCCCTTATCACATCAACAACACCGATCACCACTACTACTCTACCTTCTCTACCAAATTGCGGCGATTCAGCACCAGTTGAAAAACACCACTCCTGCTCCAAACAGTTATCTTCACCAATTCAACAATTCATATATTTTTTTTCATTCTTTTTATTTGTGTATACAATTGAGCCTCAGAATATCTTATGTAGTTGTGTTTTGTATGTTGTTGGGATGACTTTAGTTTAATTCTTAAACTTTTACATCCAAAATCAGAAAAGGGAACTTTGTTGGTTGAAAACGGTTTTAGAGACAATATAGGCAATCTGAGACTATTTACTTGCAATTAGATGATTTTTGTTACTCTATTTGTATAAATGTTTGTGGTATGGTTGTTATTTTCAATTGTTGTTTTGCCTTTGAAAATGCTATTCGTTTGGTATTTATTTGTTCCATTATAAAAATATATATTAATATTATCTGTTATATGATTGTTTTTTGTTTTTTTGAATATATGCAGGATTATCAACGAATATCCAATGTAGCAACATTTGATTCTTTGGTTAATCTTCAGTTTGAAGAAATTCTTCAACTGTGTAACAATGAGGTAAATTTTTTGGACTTACTATAATTGTATAACATAAACACAGATTGATTATATAAGGAAAGCTGATGAGAATTTTAAAGATCAACTTTTGAGTAATTTGATAGATGTACTGATTTTTTATTAAGGTATTTGTGGGTACTTTATGAAAATTGCACATTTAAAGTAGTGTACTTTATAAAAATTAGTTTTCATGACTTTTTTAAAATGGCACAGGTATTTGTGATGTGGAGGTTTGAAAGATTTTGAAGGGGATGAGAGAGAATGACTGAATGAGCTATTGCTCAGTTAACACAAAATTACAACCGGTGCAATCAAACAACCCAAAAAGGTATCCATTTAAAACTCTAAATTTTCTTTCTGAAGATCTAGAAGAACACGCAAGAGCTTAATATTGTGTTTAATTTGTTGTAAAAACTTACTAGCATTCTATTTTTCAAAGTTTTAATGGAGTTGAGAAACATATAAAGGACATGATGTTTGTATTAATAAAATTCAATTTTTACAATTTTAGGATCATATTGCCCCTACACACTATTTTTATATTAAAAAAAAGACAAAACTTCAAAAATGGTCCCTATGGTTTTCGAAAATATCAAGTTTAGTCCATAAGTTCAAAAAACATCACAGATGGTCCCTGTGGTTTCAAAACTTTTAACAAATGGTCATTTTCTCTAACAACGTTAACATTTGACCGTTAAGTGAATGACATTTCAATCATTTCACTACCACACCATTTATGACGTTTTGTCTTATTTTTTTTAAAAAAGAAAAAAATATATAATTATTTAATATTAAAGGGCCCCACCTCTCTCTCTCTCTCTATATATATATATATATATATATATATATATATATATATATATATATATATATCAAAAAGTTGAGTCGTACATCCAGCCGACTCGTTTACCCCATTCCATTCATATAAATAGGTCAGAACCTTAATCGCTTCTCCAATGGATGCTCGATCAATAGGTTTGCATTCGACTGCAAGAGACCCTGAAGATCTATCATTGCTGCTTTTTCCTCTTAATTCATGAATCAATCTTCCTTCAAATTCAGCAACAGCAATTGAGTCGATCAAATAGGTGGAATCTACGAATCGCTCTGGAATCAAGGCCTGTTTGAGTTCATCATCTTCCGCATTGTTCCGATTATCTACAATCGGCAAGATCATCACATCATCACTATCGAATTTTTTCTTCTTCATTCTTCTCAATTGAAACTTGGTCTTCTTCCCACCAAACCATCCATGATGTTCAGTGGCACGAGGTGTGCTAAAACCGTAAACTGTAATTCACCGGAAAATAGAACCAAATGCTTGAAACAGGCGACCATATCAACCAGATAATCAACTGCTAAAATTGAAAGGATGGTGTTTGTAGTGACGAGAGGTGGTCTTTCTCTATATTTGCAATTGAAACGAAGATATCAATCCCAGGTAGATCGGAGAGTCCTTTAGGGTTGTTCTTGGTGGGTTTGAATCTTTCTTTGAGCATAGAGAGTATTTGGATCTGGTAATTGGGCAGAGCTTCAGAAGTTGGTCGAGAAGCCATGAGAGAACTGTGCATCAAAACCCATAAATTGAAAAATTATTGAGGTATTTTGATAGATTCAGATTCCCCCAATTTGTTCTTGACCCTCAAATATTGGTCCCGTCCCCCATGGTGTTTTTTCTTGATTTTCAATGATTTATGTAATTTTTTATCTCCTACAGTGTCGATTTGGGGAAATTGATCATTGACTCTTGCATTTGTCTGCTTCTCTTCAGTAATGTCTGCTTCAATAATCCCTCCATCGATACCCTCATATCGATCAGACCATGGAGCATGAACAATCACAACCATCCATGGTGTTTTACTCTAGTTAACCTTCTTCACATTAGGCTCTAACCATCGTATTGGTCAGATCCATATCCAAAATCGGTATAGGAACTCAACATGAGGATGTGGACGCCTGAAACAACAAATTTGAAAACAAAAAATTCCCACTTCTTCAGATCATATACTAACAAAATAATGTTGGAAATTTGTAACCTGAAACAACAAATTTGATTGGAAATTGAGTCGGAGGAGTCTTGAAAGAGTATTCAAGGGTTGAACGAGAGAGAGAGAGAGAGGAGAGAGAGACCTTTAGTATTAAATAATTATATTTTTTAAAATAAAGTGTGGTAGTGAAAAGACAGAAATGCCCTTCACTTAACGGCCAAAAGCTAACGGTGTTAGCGAAAATAACCATTTGTTAAAAGTTTTGAAACATAAGGATCATCTGTGAGGTTTTTTGAATTTAGAGACTAAACTTGATATTTTCAAAAACCACAGGGACCATTTTTGAAGTTTTTTCTTAAAAAAAATTCAATTTTTACAGTTTTAATACCGTATTGCCCATGAAGACTGTTTTTATATTAGTAAAAATCAATTTTTATAGTTTTAGGACAATATTGCCACTACACATTGTTTTAATATTAAAAAAATATTTTTTTGCATTTTAGGACCATATTGCCATTGCATACTTTTTATATTAATAAAATTAATTTTTTTTACACTTTTAGGACCATATTATCCCTACATACTGTTATTATATTAATAAAATTCAATTTTTACGGTTTTAGGACTATATTACCCCTACACATTGTTATTATATTAATAAAATTCAATTTTTACAGTTTTGGGATCATATTATCCCTCCACACTATTTTTATTGGGTAGATTTTATGAAATTAATTGCAGCCTAAACTTTGTGATACTTGATTGTAGCCTGATTGCATGTTCTGCAATAAAATATTAAGTTCATCTGATATCCATTTCTTCATTTCTTTGTTAATAAACGATAATTATCCAATTATTGGTTTTTTAATGCCTTTTCTTCATCCAATTTTGATATAATGCTATTCTTGTACAGGTCCTTCAAGGTACAACTTATCGTCTTCAACATCCATTGGTGGGAATTATCAATAGATCTCAAGGTGAAGAGCAAAAATATTTTGCTAACAGTTCTGATTATGGGCATTTCGGCAATAAAATGGTTAACATTTGTAACTCAATAAAATCTTTTTGTTATTTCCAAATCTTTGGCGTCTACCTTGTAAAGCAAAGTTCTTCTTTAGTTAATACTAATTGTATGTAGAGATTAACCAACTAGGTGCGGCCGAGACGACCACTTATCGTCATTTCATTAAACATGATTATTATACTTTTATATTTTTTTATTTGATAGTGGTTTCGACTTAATTATTATTAGTTTTAACTATAATGGATTTAAAATCCCTCGACTTTCAAATGCATCCAAAATATTATCTATTCCTATTTCTATTAGAAAGAAATCAAAATTTTTGGGAATTTGGATAACGTTTGCTATATTTTTTGAAACGATAAATCTAACATACTCTTAAATTACTCATTTGAATTCACATATGTCCATGATAGGACTTGGATCCTCAATCTCAAGGAGGGATGACAACACCGGATACTATTGGACTAGAAACCTTTTGATTCTATATGGATATTGGACTATTATATTTTTGAAGTACAGCTAATAAAATTTCAATGTTTGAAAATAATTATTACACTCTTTAATTATTAGGTGGTCAAATAATTAATTCATTGTTATCTTCAAACCCTTAAAATTCATTATTAGGTTGCTATTAAATTGTGTTATCTATAGCTGTTGCTTGTTCCATGAAAAGGAAAACATAAACACAATTGCGTTCAAATTTTATTATCGATCGATTATGTTGCTTTCTTATTATCTATCTACCAACTGTGTTTGTTATATTTTTATTTATGCATTACTCTTGTTCCAACATACATAAAATGTAGTTTTCTTATGCCACCCGAAATGCAAAACATAAATTTATGTTTTTGTAACTTGTTCCACAAAAAGAAAAATGAATCTATCTATGAAATTGTAAAAATCAATAGATTAATAACTAACAAGGAAAGAAGGGTAGTAGATTAAGAAAAACGGAAATTAAAATATAATTTTGAATTGAAAAAACTGCAAGATTGATCCCTGTGGGATTTAAAAAACTTTGGATAAAATCTAAACAATTTTCAACTTGCATGAAATATCCAAAATCGAGAAATTTCTATGATTTTTGGTTCAAAAAAACTTGAAAAGACGGTTATACTTTTTTACTTTTTTTGTATTTTTTATAATTATTTCAAATATTATTTTAACTTAAAAAAAAAAGTTATCCCCCCAACCCCACCTCTCTCTCTCTCTCTCTCTCTCTCTCTCTCTCTCTCTCTCTCTTTGAAGAACTTCACATCTCGTCTCCATTGGCAACCTCCAAGTCTTGATTTTAAACTCCAACAAACTCACCGGAAAAATCACAGGTAAGCTTGGGAACTATCGTAGTATCAAGAATCTAAAGAGAAATAAAAAACCTACAACATTTAGTCCAAGTCCAACAAACTCACCTTCAAGATTTGACTTGTGTTCCACCAGTTTACCAATTTTAGCACCATAAGAGAAATCAAGAACCTGCAACTTTTAGGCCAACTCCAGTGGCTATGTCGCCTATCGATGTCTCCCAATTAACTTTTAGGCCAACTCCGGTGGCTATGCCGCCTATTGAGAGAGAGAGAGAGAGAGAGAGAGAGAGAGAGAGAGAGAGAGAGAGAGAGAGAGAGAGAGAGAGAGAGAGAGAGAGAGCGATGGGGTTGGGGGGATAAAGAACAATGCCAAGATGCACCGTTAGGGTTTCTCTGTTACTCCTTCACTTTTACATATCATTATGTTGGGGTTTGTCTTTGACCGGAACCGTAAGATTCTTTTGAAAAACGATTTGTTGTTGGTTTTTGGATTTTAACTTGGGTAAGCTGATAGAGTAGTGTGTTGTTGAAGGGGAAAGAGGTTTCATTGTGTGTTTATGGAACCGGTGGTGGGGTTCGATCAACATGAGGCTGATCAAAGATAGGGGTATGCCGATGGAGTTGTGGGAAGATCCTTAAAGATGAATAGGAATATATATGGGTTAGGATAGAGAGAGGGGGAAGGGTGGGGGGTACCGATGGAGAGGGTTGGGTGAGATTTTTTTTTTAATTATTTAAATAGCAAAATAAAGAAAGAAAATAGAAAAAAGAAACGGAAAGGGTAAAATCGACTTTCCAAGTGTATCAGGAACCAAAATCATGGAAAAATCTTAGTTTTGGACCTTATATGCAAGTTGAATTTTTTTTAGATCATATCTACAGTTTTTTGAATACCACAAAAACCAATCTTACAACTTTGTCTTTTGAATAAATAATGAATAGAAAAACTGTCGTGGTAAAAATCTAAACAACTTATTTTTTGAGTCTTTAAAGTTGTTTCATTTGACAAATGAAAGAATAATTTATAAATAAGTTTTTTAAAAGCTATTCAAACTAACATTTCAACAAACTTATGGAACGTTTTTTTTAATTCTTCTAAATATATCATTTATTAACTATAAAGAAACTCATTAATTTAAATTCATTTTTTTATGTCATTTTACAATATTTACCATGGAATTTCTCGAGATTTATTTCACAACCGGTTCAATTAAAAAGAAAATAATTAGTGTTTTATTAACGAGACCTTATGTATTTCTTTTCCCATTAAAATTTGTTTAGAATCTATGGTCCAGATGAACAATGATTACAATTATATTGAGAAAATAACAAAACAATGTAAAAGAGAAAATGAAGATAATTTTTTGAAAAAACTAGGACTTAATTACTTAATAATAAATGCATATTCAATATATTAAATTGTTTTTTTTTTCTGCCATTAAGTTAAAATGCTCATAAATAACTTACTAGATTAAATCATGTACTTCACGAAAGTTTCGTGCATCGGCAACACCCGGAGTTTTTAAAAGACTTTCGTGCATCGGTAACACCCGGAGTTTTTAAAAGATGTACAACATGTACGAAAACACATGATCCACCTAGAGGGCCTATTTTTATTTTTATTTTTTTAATACGCATATATGTATATTTATGTAATTGAACAAAAATATAGATGACTAATTAACTCCAAAAGAAATCAAAAAATTGTTTCTTTGTTTATTAGTTCTCTAATAACTAATAACAAAAAACTAAATTGATAATGATGGTTAACATTTTTTTAAGATAATACTTATAGATATCAATTATTAAATTATTAAAACTAAAGTTATTAAAATCATACTTACGGTCCATAATATCATAAGAAAGATTTAATGTATTTACAATGATAGTTATTGAGTACGATATATTGAAGAGTATTAATCATGAACTATGAAGAGCTGATGACCAACTTTGCTTCTAAAAATGATAAAAAAAATATCATGATTCATATAACTATATAAGTTTATATATCGTATTTTCGTTTTTTGTTTTGCTTGTTTTTATAACATTTGTCGATTTATCATCGTATTAACAAAATTTTGCTTACATATATGAAAAAAAATAATATTTGAGGGTACGATTTTATCTTTCACAGAGGGTCAATGGGATGCCACCTTAGAAGTTCAAGAAAAAATATAGATAATAATTAAAAAAAAAAAAACTTGTCCACCAAAAATAAATAAATTAGTTTGCATGTAATCATTAGTGTCATCAATAGTTCCAATAATGACGAGTTACAACTTCATCAACACTTCATAGCATGTGAAATCATTTTATATATAAAAAAAGTGTTGGCATTTATTTCAAAAGTGTGAATACACCAAATTTATACCATGTTAACAATTTTATTCCTATAAAAATAACTAAAATTAAAAAATGTCGTGACATGACATATCAATTACTCATCTTTGGTAAGGCTTTGTGTTATTAGCTTCAACTCGCTTGATCTCATTTTGCACTTCTTCTAAAGTAGGTTTCCTTGAATTTTTCATGCTATTGATTTTAGATGTTTTTAGTAAAGAAGAAAGATGTTTTAGACATGAGAGATACTCCCCCTTTATATCACCAAAATTAGATAACCCCTTCT